GATAACATAAATGGTTCATTTGGGACCAGGTTTGCAATGTAGATGAATACTACCAACATACCTCCTGATATGATGAGGAATAGAGTGTATGAGAATCCAAAGGTTTTTATAAATAATGTTGTGATTAAGCTAATACAAATTGTAGATGAGGTTAGATTTATAATTATTTTGATGGGATGGGAAGTGGTAAGAAATGTAATGGAAGAATAGATCGTTATTACGATGATTGTTTTTGTAATTTTCAGAAAATAGTTTAAATTAAAATATTGGTTTTGGAGATAAATGATAAGATTGTTATTAAGCACAAAGCTATACAAAGGGCTATCTGTAGCTTGCCCACCACGGGTATCGAAACCCGGTTTCTAGCAGTATAAGCCCGCAGACATACCACTGTGCCATTGGGAGGGCCAATGATAGGAGGTGTTTTTTGTTTGTTTTTTTTCTGAATGTTTTAGGGGTTTAGTTTAACCCTTTTCCGGTTTACAAGACCGAGGTTTTGTTTAAACTACTGAAACTAATGGTAATTAATTTTAATGTGATGATATTGGGGGATTTGAATGTACTTTTCGGGTTTATAAAGTTTTTTAAGAAGTCGTAAACATTTGTTATCTATGCTATTGAGATTGGAATTTATATTTTTAGGAGATTTTTAATGACAGTTCGTTTGGTTAGAGGGAATTTAGGAATAGAGGGACTTTTGTTTGTTTTTTAAATAGTTTTATGCGAAGGAAGATTGGGTCTAAGAATTCTTGTTTTGGTAGTTCGATCTCATGGGAATGATTATTTTTCAAGAATAAATTTGCTTGAATGTTAGTTATTTTTGTGTATATGTTTTTATTAAGACTGTGTACTTTTACTTTTTCTTGAGAGACTATTCAGTTTGAGTTATTTTTTGTAACTCTCTTAAGAGTGTTTTTTAGTTATCGTTTTTCTACATATAGCCGTCTTTCTTTGGTGCTGGGGGTCTATTGAGTTTTTCTTTATTCGGATTATTTTGTTGAATTTGTTATTCAATGTTAGTGGCTAGATATAGGGTGTATACAAGCAATAATGATAAGGCGAAGTTTTTGTGGTTGTTCTAAGTTTGAGATTTTTATTTCTAAATTTTAACTGTTTAGGTTAATTGTTGTTATTTTTTACATTTCTTTTGAGTCTGTGTTAATTCCTACTTTATTAATAATTATTGGTTAGGGGGAGCAAGTGGAAAGTCTTCAGGCTGGTATCTATATAATTTATGTGCTTTTTTACCTTTTTGGTTGGTATTTTTAGGCTTTATTATTGCGAGAGGGTGTAATATTTTATTTTTTAAGATTAAGGGGGTTAGAATTTTTTGTTTTTGTTGTTGCTTTTTTAGTTAAGCTCCCAATGTTTTTATTACATCTGTGGCTTCCTAAGGCTCATGTAGAGGTTCCTATTGCAGGATCAATGGTATTGTTGTTAAAATTAGGAGAATTTGGATTGTTTCGGGTGTTGTGATTATTTCAAGATTTTGTGAAAAATCAAGAGGGGGGATAATTGGTAAGTGTTTGGTTAATTGGATGATTATTTACTAGATATATTTGCATGCGTCAGGTTGATTTGAAGTCTTTACTTGCTTATTCTTCTGTTGGGCATATGGGGACTTTTTTAGGTGGTGTGGTGACTTTGAGAAGTTGAGGGTGTGAAGGGGCTCTTTTGTTAATAATTGCTTATGATTTATGTTCTTGCGCATTGTTTGTTTAGCTAATGTTGTTTATGAGCGGTTTTACTCTCGGAAATTAGTAATGTTAAAGAGTATAATAAGAATATTCCGTTCTTGGGCTTTTTGGTGGTTTTTATTTTGTGTTTTAAATATGGCGGCTCCTCCTTCAATAAATTTATTTGGTGAAATTTCTTTAATGGTGAGATTGGTTGGATGAGGGAAGTGAACTGTAGTTTGCTTGATGATGTCTTTTTTTTTTCGGCATATTATTCTTTATTATTGTTTTCTTCGACTCAACATGGGAAAAGTTGGTTAGTTTTTGTGTTGAGTTAGTTTTCGTGATTTTTTATTGTTGTTTCTTCATGTAATTCCTTTGAATTTATTAATTTTAAATATTGATTTATGATTATAATGATTTTTAGAGCTTAAGTAGTTTATAGAGAATTTTGGGTTGTGGTCTCAAAAAAGTAATCAAGAGTATTATTTTGAGCCTTGTTTTGATCTATTTACGGAATATGGGCTTTTTTATCATTATTAATGTTTGCATTATTTTTTTCTTATTTTTAATTTTTTTTACTTGCTGATTTTGCTTTATTTATTGAATATTACTTGTTTTTTATTGATGGGTGCCCTGTTGAATTTATAATGGTTTATGATCGAGTGTCGTTAATGTTTTTGTCTTTTGTTATGTTAATTTCTTCAGCAGTGGCCTTTTATAGAGGGAGATGGGAATCTTAATCGGTTTTGTTATTTTGTTTTATTATTTGTGCCGTCTATGGAGTTGTTAATTTTGGGACTAAATTTGATTTCTATTTTATTAGGGTGAGACGGGCTAGTTTCTAATCGGATTGGGGATGTAGGAATTTTAATTGGGATTGTTTGGTTACTTAGTTTTGGAAATTGAAATTATTTTTGTTTTGTACTTTTTGATAGAATGGGTATAGAATTTTATTGAGTTGGGGGTTGTATGGTTTTGGTGGCAATAACTAAAAGAGCTCAGATTCCTTTTTCTGCTTGACTTCCAGCAACTATAGTTGCTTGTACTCTAGGTTTCTGCTTTAGTTCATTCTTCAACGTTGGTGACTGCTGGGGTTTATCTATTAATACGTTTGAGACTATGTTTTACATTGAATATTTTTTCTTATATTTTAATATTTATCTCTTGTATGACGATATTTATATCTGGTTTGGGGGCTAATTATGAGATGGTTTGTTTGAATTTATACACAAAGCTACACAATGGGCTATCTGAGCTCTGCCCAACACGAGTATCGAAACCCGGATTCTAGCGTTGTAAGTCCACAGACATACCGCTGTGCTACTGGGGGGCAATTATGAGATGGATATAAATAAAAGTTATTGTTTTATCTACTTTAAGACAATTGGGGGTAATAATATTATCTATTTCTTTTGGTAATTGAAAATTAGCGTATTTTCATATACTAACGCATGCTTTGTTCAAGGCTCTTCTTTTTCTTTGTGTGGGATCTGTGATTCATATTAGGTCGTCAAGAAATTAATGTCGCGTTTTGGAACACTTTCATTCCCCCCCCCCCCCAAAAAAAAACGTACATCACGTATAATAGTTATACGAACTGCCTAAACGTCACGTTGGTGTAGCCTATGTAATGTGTAAAGTTTAGTGTACTCTAATCCTTTATAGTGATGGCGCACGATGAGACACACATTCGGCATGTAATGCTGTTTGAATATAAGAAGGGAAACGACGTCTCTGAAGCTACAAATAATATCA